AAAAAAAAAAAAAAAAAAAAAAAAAAATCTAGCGTTGCTACAGTGTTGCGCCACATCTGGCGCAACACTGTAGCAAACTGTGAAGTGACGCTAATTTTGAGCGCAGCATTGGAGCAAAAATTTCACACAACTCCAGCCATTTGCTCTAGAGTATTGCAGGGCTGGAGAAGCTCTTATGTCCAGCCCTTATCTCTATATTTTACTCTACATTAAATATATTTTTTTTTATTCATTTTTTATTTCAAATAAATTGGTATATATGTATATTTAATCTTATATAAAATGTTAATTACTCAAATAATAAAAATATATTTTATTTATTTTTATTTAACATAATTTTACTACAATCATTTGGAAAATGATTGTAATAGGGCATATATTCACATTTTGGAAAATGATTTAGGGCATATATGGTCTAGACCATATATGGTTTAGGGCATATATTTACAGTCTAGATTTTCTTAGTGAATATATACTCTAAACCATATATGGTCTATACTGTAAATATGCACTAAATCTAAATTTTGTATAATTAATCTTATATAAATCTTATATAAACTTTTAATTTTAATGAAATCTGCTTGTTTGAATGTGTTAATTTTTATTCAAACGGTACTATTTTAATATTAAAAAATACAAAATAAAATTATAATACATCAATAAATAAAAAGTACAAAATTATTTAGAATAAAAATACATTGCACAAAGTTATTTAGCATAAAATATATTTATTAATACACATTATACAAAAATTTATCATTAATATTACATTAAAAAAAAAAAAAAAACTTGTTAAAAAACTTCAATTTTAATGAAATAAACTTGTTTGAGTGTGTTAAATTTTTATTTATATGGTATCATTTTAATATTAAAAAATTACAAAATAAAATTATAATACATCAATAAATAAAAAGTACAAAATTATTTAGCATAAAAAATACATTACACAAAGTTATCAGTAAAAAAATACATTTATTAATACACATTATACAAAAAAATATCATTTAAAATACATAAAACAAAAAAAAATAAAAAAAAAAATCTGGCGTTGCTACAGTGTTGCGCCACATCTGGCGCCACACTGTAGCAAACTGTGGAGTAGCGTGGAGAAATAAAGCAGCACTGGAGTGATTTTTTGCGCTACAAAAAAGTAGCGCAGTGATTGTGGCGCAACAGTGTAGATGGTCTTAGTGAGAATCAGATAACCTTTATTCACGACAGACAACTCTTAGATAATGTTGTCATTGCTCAGGACTCTTCCTCATTTCATTACACAAATTTGTGCATAACTTATGCTAAAATCACGATACAGATGACTTTTCCCCTAGAAGTAACTAATAAAATGGAAAATGGATATAAAATTTCGAAGGTGGGTTTAAACAAGAATAAGTTAGCAAAACAAAAGGCTACTATCAATATAGTCGATTATTTATGTCAATTACACTCCATTTATTATTCCACAATCTCTAACACATATCAACCTTAGAAAAAGTTCCAAGATTTGGAGTGTACTTACATCAAAAAAATGAAAACTTAGACAGAAACTATTTCAAAATTCTCCGTTTCACCCACATGAATTCTCACATCTCTGTTTTCAACAACTCCAGGGGATTCAGTCATGTAAGACTCGAATTTATCGGCTACTTTCTCCGGCATCGAAACCAGCACCTTAACGGCATCGCGCTCGCCAAAAACCGGCAAGAGAATGCAGTAAACATCACTGTATAGTGGGCCCATGTGGAGGGCCTTTCCATGTCCAAAATCCAGCTCCTCAAGGCCCAATTTCGACCACTGTGATATAATCATGGTCGTCGATAGGTCCGTGTACACGCTTTTGTCCTCAAGCAAATCAATCATCGAGCGAACAGAGTCGTTTGTTATAGTCGATTTCGCTCGTTGCACTAACTTTACACCGTCGTGCAAGTTGGGCCCGACGAGTTCCTTAACCTCGGCCTTTGCGCATGCCAGGACAAACGCATTCCCATAATACCCTTCCGGGACCTCGGGAGACAACTTATTTCTTACGTTGACAGAGAACAGAAGCTTAACGGTAGCGGAAAGGGGTAGTCCCAAGGATTTAACCCAACATCGCCACGTGTGAGAAGCCAAGACCTCGAAAGTCGAGCATTTCATCAAAGGGCAAAATTGTCTTTTCAGTTGGAGAATTTGGGATGGCGAAAATGTTATGGATACAGGGGTAAGCGGTTGAGACTGTAAATACTTGAAAATGTTGGGGCCGGTTTGGAAATTCGAATTCTTAGGGGCGGTTCTAGCGAATCCCGGATGGTCGAAAGCTACATGTGGCGGATTACGAGGTTTTAACACGTGGCGATCGTGGTACGGCTTTGGTGTAAGTATAGCATCACTAGACTGACACAAGTGGGCCCAGGCATGTAAGAATTGTGAGGCTCCTATCCCATCACAAAAACAGTGGTTAAATGCAATGCCTAAGATCATGCCACCACACTTCAGATTTGTGACCTGTTGAGGGAAAAAAAGGGATTAAAAAGAAAATGTGTTAATTGCAATTACAGAAAGATTAGAGGGGTAAAGTGTTATTTATTACAAGAGGAAGATGAGACAAGCAGATAGTCAGAAAGAATAGATGCAAGAAAGGCAGTGGCAAGTTGAGTTTGGGCATCGAATAAACTTTTGTTGGGTAGACAACTTTTGCGGTTGATCATAATTTGGGGAAAGACTACAGTCCCGTTACAGTACGGTTCTGTCGATATTTTTCATCGTAGATTATTTACACATCATAAATCTACTTGTGTATCTACGGTTAAAAACACCTACAGAACTATACTGTAACGGGACTCTAGCACTGACACAAAGTATCTGTCATAGAGATCAAGAAAGAAACCACGATCCTCGTAGCTCAAACGCACTGTACCCACTTTTCGAGGGTTCCGACTAAAGCAAGACAAACAAAACAAAAGGAGCTAACCTGAACTACAAGAGGTGGAGTGTCCAAAAAACAAGAAGCCTCAACTCTGTACAAGAGCTTTCTTAGGGACCTGTTTGGCTTGTCCACAAACAACACGACGAACTCCTCAGCACACATATCCATCTTCGCCTCGACAAAGACAGCGCCTTGCCCGTTGCAGTCTATTTCAAGCTTACTATCATCATTCTCAATGCACGATTTCAACCTCCCGGCAAACGGATAGTACTCGATGAGAACCCTAGACAAAGCGTCCTTTAGAGTCTCCGGGTCGACGGATCTTTTGTAAACATAAAGAAATTTAGTCGTAAACCTCAAAAACTTCTGGTCGTCGAGGTTCGAAAGGTAGAGAGTTTTTCTTGGAGTCGGGTTTTTGGGTCGGATCAAAACGGGTTGACTTTGTCCATAGACACAATCAGGGAGTTCCTGGGATTTAAACATGGTCTTTTTTTTT